CGGTAAAAACTGTAAAATATCTTATATACGGTCGATATCGCGATGAATAAAAAGCGCGAGCGATATAGCGAAACGCACTCGTAAATTCATCGCGAACATGGCGGACGCGTCGCGGTGCGGCGCTCCGGAAATGAGCGGGGATCACTTGCCTCGATTAATCCGTTGCGACGACCCGTCGATCGTGTACTCCAAGCTCCTCGCGTCCTCGGCGTCCGGGGGCGTCTCGCGATGCTCGTCGGACGACGCCAATAACGCGGAATACTCGGTAGATCGTTTGTTCGATCTCGCCGAACGATCGGTGATTCCACTTCGATTCGCCGCAGGGGACAGGGGACCGTCATGAAGTTGCCGCGGTCGCGGTGTCGTTGCGTCGCGGCGGTCGCGCTACCGCGCGCGCCTTCGCGCGCTTTAAAAAGTCGTCGAGAGATGAATAAACGATTTTCTAGCGCCATAAACGTTTATATCTCTCAGGTAATATTTTGATCGCGGGTGTCGGTGAATCTCGCATCTTTTATGTTCACTTTACGAGGTAGCTTTTTATGCTGTTTGTAGTCTATAATGATAAAAAAAATTTGCCGCGGTGTAATGTCGAATGCGGTGGGTTATGTGACCACGCGGCTTTCGCGCCCTTTAAGCCGGTTCTACAATCAGTCGTATGTCGAGGGGGGATGTCGGAACGCAACCGATGGTCCAATGAGATAATTTCTTTTTTGAAAACGAATTTTTCTTATTGGATCATCGGGTGCGTTCCGACATCCGACTCTGACTTATGCCCGTATCACACTAGCGATTGGCGATTGCGTTTTACGTTTGCGTCTACGTCTTTTGACCAATCAGAACGGAAATCGCGAATCGGACGCGCCAGCAGCTACTTTTTGATTGGTCCAGAGACGTAAACGCAAACGTAGACGCAATCGCCAATTGCTAGTGTGATACGGGCATTACGATTGAGTGTATAGAACCGGCCTTAAAAACCGCGAGAAGATTAGAAAATAACGACGTGATAAATGTTTATTTTTGAGACAATATTTCGACCGAGAAGGCATATTGATAAATCTTGCAGCCTTCGTGCCTATTTATCGAGATAAATTTTTAGGTCATTTGTAGCGATCATATACGAAAGTAATGCTAGGTCTACAATGCGAGTCGTAAAGTCGTGAATCGTAAGAATTGACCAATCACAGTCAATTATTCTCCTCAAATTCGATTGTGATTGGTCAATTCTTACGACTCACGACTTTACGACTCGCATTGTAGACCTAGCATAAAGAAACGATGAATATGCAATGTAATCGTCGAACGATTGAAGATTGTTTTATACCCTATTTCGATCTGAGAATCTATAATATTTCAATCTAAGGATTAATTAAAATTAAATTTTTTTTACGATTTATGGAGAGTCAGTCTTTTTGCTGACTCTAACAATGTACGTCTCGCATAACAATGCGTTGCTCGGTTTTCAAGGAGCTCGCGTTATTATTTCAGAGAGCTCGAAGAATACGCGAGCGGCGGTGTAAGTTTCAGCATTAGCGAGAGGGATCAAAGATGCATTGAAGAGATTGCGCAGCGCGTGCGAAATTCCAAGAACAAATCGAAAGCGAAGCCCAAGTGCAATTTAGATAAATACCCGCGTTCGAATTCGAGCAGTCCTCGCGAGAACAAAAATGGGCAGGATCAGGCAGGTTCCTCGGAGGATCGTCGCAAATTAAATTTGTAATTGCAATTTCGTAAAATAGTCGGATCGTTATTTGTTTTACATAATATAAACTTACTGCAGGCTTCAAGACTAATTAATATATTCGTTTGATTGTGAGTTCTTTAAATATCAGTATCACGAATCTTTACCAATCTTTTTCATAAAAGCGACACAAACGATCTCGATTTTTGCCATTGTATAATTAGACAACTTTGTCCACACGACGCTATTTTTATATCAACATGTTATTTTAATATGCTATTTAATTATATTTATTCTTTATCGAAACTCACACACAATAAATTTTGTATTTTCTCTAAAAAATTGAATCGGCGAATAGCTGACATCCATTAATAAATCGCCAACAATTAATGTACTAATAATTAAGCTAAATCGTTTCGTCTACACGCATGACACACGATATCCGTGAAGATGTGATCTTTGTAATTTGCTCTGGCTGTTGAAAAATATGTACGAGACATCTCATGAAAATTTCGCAAACACTATCGATATTCAGAAAACTTGAAATGCACATGAAATGTTTAAATAAATAATTTTCTAAAAGCGGGCTCTGAGAGACGTATCCATGTTTACGATGAGAAGGACGTTTCCGCCGGTCGAAATTAAAATTAAAATTGAAAATAATACCTACTCAATAAAAACTCGTATGAGAACTTTAACGATCTAGCTATGTTCATTTCTACCAATGCGGATTAACTTTAATCTCGAGTTGACTTACTTTTTATCCTTTTCTAGTTTTAAGAATTAGAATAAGATAAAAAGTAAGTTAAACCGAGATTACAAAGTTGATCCGTATTAGTATAGAAACGGACACTAGACTGTATGTGTCCGCCACCAGATAGTGGCGAATAAATCACGGTGAATAAATCGACGTTTTGCAACGCTCAGTCGAAATATTTGAATCGTGAACATATGCGGTATGTATTAGTATACATATTTGAATCCATTGTACATCTGCCGCATTTTGATAAATCGCCAAGAGCTTTGTGACGAATATCGGATTTTTTTTACTGCCTATATAAACATTTAACTCTATCGTCCTCCCCCACTTTCTACAATCGTTCCCTTGAGAATAAATTTTTAATAAACATACAAAAAATATATATAAGAAAACAAGAATATGTTAAGTTAAAAAGGGGAAAATATAAAAGTGTCTTTTCTTTTGGAATTTTTCCCGATCAATATTTCATCTCCAGTCATTATTGCGAATAGTGGCGTCATCTGTGACGCGAGAACTGAACGAAGATCTAAAAATCTTGACGTTCGTCGGTTCCTAGGCATTTATAATAACCATCAGTTTTAGGCGTGAGATGAAAAAAAAATATTCCTTATCCTCTATTTCTTTTATTTTTCCCACGATTTTTCTCAAAGAAAAATTTACTGTATTTTTATGATTATTTCTTTCTTTTGTAAGCATAGAAAAATTTCGTGCATCTCTATACAGTGTTTTACCGAGGGACTTGCCTTGGCATTCGAGCCGGTGTGACGCGCTCAAAATTAAACTTGTGGAATTTAATCGAAATTCTGTGGAAATTGCAGACCTTGTCCATATGCAGATTCTCGGCAACATTATAGACGCGAATAAATAATAAACGAACATCTTTTATCTCTATGTAGTCTGAAGAGCGTCGCCAGCAAAAAGTCCTAATGACTATATAGTTAGCTTAGCTGCCGATAAACAACGCCAGAGATTAAAAACCTGGTCGTTTGACGTGACCGGATGTTGATGGATTAATTATTACGTTAATCAACGAAACTGTTTCTCTCGCGAGAGAGAAACGCGTTGTTTGTTAATTTTTTGTATAAATTACGAGGTAGTTTATTTATTATATCATCTGGTCGCCAATAAAGCGGTTAATCCTCAAATCGAATCGATGCAGGATCCATAATTAATATTTGATATTTTTTTCATATTTTAATCATGATTTACTGATATAATGTCAATAAAAATATTGCAAAATTTGTTAAAATACAATTCCGAACTCAAATGCATCTTTAAACTCCAAAAATAATCGTCTATGTAAAAAAAAAAAAATATTGTGTAAGTAAAACATAAGGAATTGCAGATTCAAATAACTCATTCTGCGCATATAGAAAGAATAAGTGTGTTAATTTTTTTCTTGATTTTCTAGCACGACGGGGCTTATGTCGCTTTGACATGGCAATTTTTTGAAGACTGTTCGAAAAACAGTACAAATAATGATTATTAAAAATCCAGACACTTGATGCCACCGAGACAGATTAATTATCGCATTAATTAATCGGTTCTCCAGTAGAAAGTGCGTAGCAATATATCGCACGTTTAGCTCGTTGTTTGTTAACTTTTTTTGTGAATTACGCCGCGCCGGCCGGTGTTCGGCTCGCCACGATGCGATTAATCCTCAAATCGAATCAACGCAGGATTCATATTATATTAGTATTTGACAATACTAGCAAAAATATTGCATTTGTGAAATATATGAATTCCGAATTCAAGTGCATCTTTGAACTCCAAAAATAATCGCCTATGTAAACAAAAAATATTGCATAAGTAAAACATGAGGAGTTGCAGATCCCAATAACTTTTATCTTGCACAGAAAGAGCGGTGTTAATATTTTTTTTCGATTTTTTAACACGATTTATGTCGCTTTGGCAAGGCGATTTTTTGAAAGCTGCGTTCAAAAAACAATACGAATGATTATTAAAAATCCAGACACTCGATATGGCCGAGACAGATTAATTATCGCATTAATTAACGAAATCGGTTCTCCAGTAAAAAAAGCGGAGCAATATCGCACAATTAGCTCGCTGTTTGTTAACTTAAATTCTTTCATATGCAGGATTCGTATTACAGTACTCGATAATACTAACAAAAATATTGCAAAATTTGTTAAACATATAATATAAACTCCGAACTCAAGTTCATCCTTGAGCTCAAAAGATAATCGTCGTCTGTGTAAAACAGAACACATTATATAAGTAAAACATATAAGGAATTGCAGAACTTGTAGAAATAAACCGTGTTAAATTTTATTTTTATCAATTTCTTCAGCACGACTTATGTCACTTGGCACGGCGCTTTTTTAAAAAGCTGCGTCCGAAAAATAGAGTGAAAAACGATAAGAGCCAGCAGCCAGCAGATAAGAGCAGAGAAGTGAATGGAGAAAACCCGCTCCCACCGTCTCTCTCTCTCTTGCGAGATAAAGGCCGGACACTCGCGGAGGAAGTGGAGGAAAAAACGCCGGCATAAATTGTATAAATTAAGACGTCGAGAGCAGCGAAGACCACGTCTCGTCGACGCGGTCGGTCGCAGTCGTCGCTTGAAAATCGCGGGTGACCTGCGCCCGGGTAAAATCAATGAGAGCGTACGGCGACGAGACTGAGGGGAGTGACGGGACGAGTGCTGACGGTAGCGCGACTCCTCCACCGTGCGACGACACCAACGAGCGCGTCGTGGGTGCCGCTGCCGCCGCCGCCGCCGCTTGGTCCGGCCCGTCCGGCTTGCTACGTCGTACCCTCGGCACCGTTCTCCGCGGCGTGTACGAGCCGCTCGCACGTCATCGGCACCGCGCGGAGTGTCATGTAAGTGCACGTGGCGGCGAGATGCCGTCCGGCTGCGAGGACATGGATCTCTGCACCGACAAGGTCCTCTCCAAGGGCAGGATCCTGCAGGAGCTCACGAAGGCCGTCAAACTGGTGAGCGACACCGGACACCCGGCTCCCCGGCGGCCTCCCCTCCGACGCCGCGCACCGCCTTCCTGGTTCCTGTGTAGCATTACACGCTTTACGTCTTTTACGCACGCTCGTTGCTCTGTACTGTCGAATTGTGCAACGGCGGCTCATTGCGCACCTTTCCCTTCTCTCGAAAAAGCATGGGTATATCTCCCGCAGCACGAGAAACCGATATGAGTTACGATCAGTCGTGCGTCTTGGACGCTTATGCATGCAGAAAAGAAAACAGTGGGGAATGGGACGGTTGTAATCTCGGTGAGTTCGACCTCGGACGCTTATAGACGCGTGGAGAAGTGTGTCTTTTACGACTCTTACGTCAGTTGTCAATCGCGGTCTCGTGCGAACGGCTATAGAGAGTACTTTCGCGTGACTACGGCGAGAGGCACCGGAGTTCGAACTCGTCGACTTTGCACCGGTCCGTGCAAGCCTGTCATTCCTGACCTACTGTCAGTCGCTTAAATTCTTCCTATCGGGAAGATAAACGTGGAGATTATTTTACCACGCTCGAGATCGGAGCTGTCGATATAATCATGTTGGTTTTTGTCTTCGAATCTCCGAATCTGGAATCAGGAGCCAAGATTTCGATTTCGTCGAGATAGGAGCAACAATTGCAGTCTCAGCCTCGCGCGGTCTACTTTGGCAGCGTATCGCCGTTGCTTGTTGCATGTGTCGCATGTTTTTTGTTTTTACGCAGGCTTTCTCACGAGTCGTTTGGTCGTGCGACGAACAGCCCGAAATAAAGTGCGCACGCATGCTACAAAATTATTATAATTTCCGTAACGTTTAGCAGCATCTCTAACTCGGAACGTTTCGAGATTCGTTAAATCCGCCTGCTGTCCCGGTTTGATTAGCTTTAGAAACGCATGGTTCACGTGGATTTTCGTTACTTTATTTTGGAAAGTGCGACAAAAACAAGAACGAGAAAAAGAGCTCATCAAAGAATCCGTCGAGAGCTAAAAAAGAAGAATTCGCGAGTCAACAAGCGGACGCGAAGTTTCAATTTCGTTTCAGTGACGTTTCTCTTCGCACGTTGTGCACGTGAAGAGGGAGAAATCGGAGTATACATGTTCAAAGGTGATATAACATATATATATTCGTGACGTTGTGACCTGCTCGTGGGTTAATCGCGACGCAGCGGGGCTCCAAATCGAACGCTCGCACACAAACGCGGACGAGCGCTCGTTCGCAACGTGTGAACGCGGTATCTCTCGATGTCGCCCCGACGCATGTACCTTTGAACGCGAAATTTCTTCGCCTGGCGAAGAGGCGAGAGGCCTCGTTCGTTTCGCTTTTCTGCTCGGTATGCGACGAGGCCGCGGGTCGCGACGTGTGCCGAGGAGTGTCCAGTGTCCAGGAGTGTGAGTCACTTTCGCTGAAATCGACTGGCCGCGCGCTGACATCTCTCATTGACAGCCGCGCGGATGTGCGTTGTTACGGGACAGCTGATAAAGGCTCCGTCCTTTTTACCCGAGCTCCCTTTTGTCGCGTGTCCTTTTCACTCCGCGAGATTATTGATCGCGCGCTCATTTCATTCTTGTTTCGTGCTAAAAACCTCGTGTCGCTAAAAAAAGGACAGATCTAAAATTGACTCCTATTACAGTTTTGGACCACTTCTGGGTTGCGTCGGTAAAAGTGAGGCGAATGGTGGTAGCTAAAAGTGGGTGTGCTCGTTTGAAAGTAAAAGCATGAAGTAAAAGCATATTTTATGTTTCGCGTATACGCAATAACCCTTTGTTTTCACCACAAAGAATTTTGTGTTTGCGAGGAGAGAATCTATATGTCTCTGTAAACTTTATATGTCTATTGAAAATATTAATATTCGAGATTCATTAATGTTTCAACCGTATTCTTGGTGCTTCGGCTTAATACATTTTCATTTTGTGATACATACATTTCTGTATCGATGACAGTAACACGTACATGTCTTGAACAGGTCTACGCCCAAAGTCTCTATGGTACGGTGGTCCTGGACGGTGATTCCTGGCTGGTTTACTGGCTGGATCGTGCGCTACGCCACGGACTTCGTGTAGAGAGACATGGATATTGGGGCACAGCTAGAGAGCTTAGTCATCAGGACACGGTTGTGGTCATACACGCGTTGCAGAGTGTATTAACTTCTATAGGAAAAGGTATGCTTTGATATCTCGTCGCAGGAACAATGTATCGAACAATGGCTTCACGTCTGCACTTTTTGCTGTTTAATCTCTTTGATTAAAATGCACTGCAATAGAAGTATAATCATGACTTTATCTTATCGTAAAGCTATATTGAACAGATTAAAAGCGATTTATGCCTTACTATAATTAAATCATGTGTTTTTACGTTATAGAAGTAAATATCACATATAATTATATTGCTTAATTCATTATTTAAAATTATTTGACTTGGAAAAATGTTTGTGATAAATTTTAGAGTTTATCACAGAATTTTAAGCATCTTTATTTGGGAGTATACATTTGTCTACTTATAAAAATGCATCTAAACATAAGTATACTTCATTATAATTTTTTAAAATTAATATTCTTGAATTTTATATGCAGGTCGAGCATGGCTCTACCACACTCTAAGCGAAGGCAGTTTTGAGAGCTATCTGGCCTGTTTACTGCGAGACACGAAAACATTAAAGAAACAGTACTTTCCACACGCACTCGTGAGAGATGCTGATAAGACCAATCAATTGGTTAATCTTCTTGCCGGTTTGGAAAACGTGTCCTTCACATTGCAATTGGTACGTTATATCGATGTGATGAATAACAACTTATAAATAGTCTACAAAATATTTAGCACTTTCACGCAGAACCGAATCAAGTTTCTCTCTCTCTCTTTCTCTGTTTAACGTTTAGCATGTCGCATTATTTTTATTCCATTATCCCTGTGCAGATACTAATATCACCCCCTGGTTACACTTATCGCGCTAATGAATAACATCAATCACATAACAAGAGTCACACACTTATATCCAGTTTGATAAATTGTTGTATTTAAAGTTGTAAAGGGCAAGAGTTTATCATATCATTTTATTTGCGAGTACACACTTTATTTTGTACGGCACTACATATCGCTTAGTTTGCTTATTCATGGAAAATTTCAGCATAATACCGCTAGAAAAAAAAAAGATATTTACTCGGAATTATCTGAAGTTGTTAGATTAATATGAAGTTGATAACTGCATGATATACCGTGTAATAAAACTAATACTGTGTTATATAAAATTGTATAGGATGTGACATATCTGGACATTTGCAACTACATGCCACAGAGGCCTATGAGCGTAAATCCGTCTGGAACAGTCTTATCGTTGCATCTAAGATCTTCTAGCGTTTCATCGAGCCTAGCTTCTCCAGGCGACAGTGGCGTTGCATTCGATAGTGACATGGATATTGCAAACGAAACTGATGGAAGCAGTTACAAAGAGGTAAGATGTAGATTGAGTCAAAATTGTGCAGAAAAAAAACTTCATAAACGTCGAATAATACACTACAATATATGAATTTCAACAGGAGGATTATCCAATGGATGATATTCCTAAATATCGGAATAATAGGTACAAGACGATTATCAACAATCGCATGGAGGACAATAAGAATTTTGGATCTAGTGATTCAAGCGAGGACGGTAAAACGCCGACACAATCACCGGCGATTACTAAATTTCAAGCTGCTATGATGACAAAAAATGATATAGTTAATCAGAATGTAACGCGAAAGCTGGATGACAATGAAATAAATTGCTCTAGTTTAGAAACTCTTAAAGACTACGAATTCTACAACAAGAGTCTGGGTGAGACAAAATTGGATAAAACGAACAAAATTGATAATGGCGTAAAAGATTTCAGTAAGAGAAGCCCCTACTACAGCGACAGTCCTGCTTATAGCTTTAAGAAGAACGTAGATCCTCGTAATTCTTATCTAATAAATAACGATACGAATCTATTAGAGCTGAGCATGACAATCTCTGACTGTGACAACATGGATGCGCCTTATGGCATTCTGAACACGATCAATATGACCGACACCAGCATTCTATCTTCCTCCAGTTCAGAAGGCATTGTACAACGTAGGCAGCGCAAAAAGAAGCGGGGCGAAAGCAAGAAGCGAGTCAGCTTTCACGAAGATATTCTGAAAACAATGAAGCTGGAAGATGACGAGAATTTTGCCGATTTCTCCATGAGTTTCTTGCTGCCTAGTTCCGTTCTAAAGAGGGACGCTCAGAAAGGCAGATACAGTTGGTGCGCGCACGGAGATTCGCCGTATATGCAGAAGAACATGAATTCCGGCAGGAATGTGCACTCGGACTGCTACTCGTTCTCGTCGTCATCGTCGAGCGCCTTCGACGGCGATGGAACCGATAAGGAGTTGTCGAAACTGTGTATCGACATGCCGTGTCAGCGCAATTGCAGGTGCAATTGCAATTTATCGTTGTCGGAGCGCGGAGCGCCGGAGGGTCAAGAGGATCCGGGCAAGAGTCTGAGGCCTAAGATGGAAATAGAATTGGGAGAGAATGAGGCCCAGGAAGCCTACATCGTCGAAAAGGCGTACGGTAACATCGTCGAGGATCCACCATCTAAGCTGGAGATGCCGCAGTCGGTGAATCCGAAGAAATATGCCAGTTCGAACGATTGGTCGGACGCGGACAGCGTGACATCCGAGTTGGATGAACGCAAGAGTAATCGACACTTGGTCTCACCGTCGAAGAAACGCAATATGACGGCGATACTAACGGGTGAGAGTAGCAGTAAGCTTTTGGCGCCGCCTTTGCGTCAGGCACCGTCGAAGACGTCGTTACTGAGCAGATTTCTAAAATCGATCACCGAGAGAAAGTTCGAGGTGAAGAAGAACAAGAAATCACCGAAGACGAATACTTTATACATCAAAGGAATCAAGATGAGCTACGATTCTTTCAAAGATTTTAACGATAATCTCGATAAAGAGATCCAAGAGAACGTGGCTGCCGAGAAGCAGGAATTCAGCGGCGAGAAAGTAAGCCTAAAGCTACGTGAACTTTTCAAGAGACATATCTATCGTGACAAAACGGAGGAGCTATATAAAGTATACAAAGTGCGAAGTTCGTACATGACAAATGGCGAGAGCAAGCCGATGATCGCGTTATTGACGGACAAAACGCTATATCTAACTAGTTCGAAAATGGACCATTCGTATAGTAATCAGTTCGTTATTCCTTATAATGAACTAGATGTTATTATGGTAAGAAATGTTTAAATAACTGTACTTATTTCCCTTGACTGATGCATGTACTTTGCTAATCGATATATATTTGTTTCATACATATACAGATCGGCCCGAATGCACAGAGTATTTTAATTTCCAACGCCGATTGCGAAATGCAATATCTATTTTCCACTGGCAGCTCGCAAACTACCTCAGAATTAATCGGCCACTTAGAGATGGCCATGAGACGATCGCCGACAAAACCAAAGCTTCCTGCTGTTAAAGAACTGAATTACGAAGATATGCACATTCTGAGGAATTCAATTCTTACTGATACAGCCGTGCATCCCGTACGTAAATCTATTTTTAAAAATTGTGAAAGCGTATTCTTGTTCTTTGAAAAATTTCTCAAAATAAATTAGAAAAGAAATTCTAAGGAAGAGTCATTCTTCATCACACAACTTTTGAAATATTAATACAGAATATTCCTTTTTTTTTATTGTTGTTTTATATGTTGTTATTTGTGCATTATTATAGAATCTACTTTTAATGTTCTATTGTTTTCATAGGATGAGAAAATAGAACATTACAGTCTTATTTATATGGAAGACGAACATATTTCGCCGCCTAGTACCCCGTGTGGGCCAATGAAAGAGGGCGATCTCATGTTCCGGCCACATACTTACCAGCACTTGCATCCGAACGCACCCACGAATCCCTGGGAAGCCGGCTATTTCGTTCTGAAAGGCGGAGTGGTTTATATGTTCACGGATTCGAATCAACGGCTTCCCAAGCGTGCTATACCGTTAAAAGGCGGCTTATGCCAAGGTTGCAGAAGGATTCCCAATTCTCATCGACCACACACTTTCGAAATACTGCTGAAGCCCAACAAGTCGTACCAATTTGCTGCCCCGGATGAATACGTTGCTTCTGAATGGTTACAGAGCTTCGTTCAGAGCGCATCGGGTCTATTCGATAGTACGGAAAAGAGAGAGCCATTACCTTGCACCCTTGTCACGACTACGAAACACTTAGTGGCGATGAAAGAGGTCCATCCCGGCACGCAGAGAGGCCAAACACTCTCGTGCGCTTCCATCAAGGATCTAGCGGCATTTAGAGTGCCGTTGGTACAACAATCGTGGTGTATACTGGTAAATATATACTAATCAAGCGTAAAACATGCATAGACTGTTAATTCCATGTCTTTTCACTGAATGGAGTTTGCCAATAAAACTTATGATATGTCTGCAGGAATTCGCATGTCGGGAGGTGCACGAAAGTAGCGGTGATTGGGTCATATACTTCACGAATTATATTGAGCTCTGTGCTTTTAAAGAGGTCTTGGAGACATTGTGGACAGACGCAAACTTGGTAGGATATATCTCGCAAGCGGTGCATCGCGCAATGTTATATGCAAGTGCTAACATAGTCTCTCAATTTTTACAGGGTGAGTTTCCTATTGCAACACTTCCACCGGAGGATAAATTACAGCGACGTTGCTCGGATGCCAGCAGGGACTTGGAACACGCCTGGCGGTACTTGCTGCCACCAGCTTTAGAATAAATGGAAACTGTACCGGTAGACAATATATACACCGTCATTTGAGAAATTATTTTATCATATTGCCATAAAAGAGATTCATAAAATATAACATAAAGCAAAACTCTCGTAACAACGCATGCGAATATCCAGATAACTATATCTGAGAATTCGAACACTAATATACGTATGCCAAAGATATAAACTGCTTACAACATAATATGAATCTTATTTGCTTCTGTTACAAATTTAAATGCCATGTATCTATCTTACTAGAACAATTGATGTTATTTTATGGCTTATACGTAGAATCATAGATATCCTTATTGGGGCTGATTTATGGCATAATATGATAAATTTCTAATTTCAAGATACAAATATATGCGCAATATAATCTTGTTATATTGCGGTGTTGATGAGAGATTGATAATTATCTTGCATATAAGATGTAAGTTGCCTCAAACGTATAGATAACTATTTAAGGAAATCGCAAAACGGTGCATTATCTTTCTTGTAGCGTAAACCACCATAATAATCTACTATTAATTTATAATGACGCAGAGTGTAATATAATGATAATTGATAACTGTGAGGCATTATTGATTACTATATGAATGTCTATATATTCACATGTATTGAAGAGATGAACCAGTATGCATTTGAATACGCACGATTGATATTAAAGTAGATATTTATCGTCCGAGATAATATTATAGAATTCAGAATCACTTAAAGCAGCTTTGACAAAAAATAATAGTACTTTATAAATCACTTTTTAAATTAGGTATATGATTTAACATTCCTGCTGCTATTTATAAATTATAAATCGATTTTACTTTTAGTGCCACGACTTTCTACATATCATCTTGTGGTATGTCCTAAAGTCGTAAAATTTTAGTCTTTCAATTTTTTAAATGTACAAGTGAAATATGAGCATAATAATTGTATTATATGCATTACGTATTAATTTAATTTAATATAATATAATATTAAATTAGTTCTCAAATATAGGTTGTATCAACTTATGTTGCGTCATACGTTGTATTAACATTTTTTAATAATTGTTATTTTATGTAATAATAGCGAATTAAAGTTACACAAAGATTATACCAAAATGATTATAAATAATTTACGCTTCGAAAATTGGTTATTTTAAATACGCTTATACATTATGATATAAAAGATGCGATATATAACTGCGATATATAAGAAAAGCTGTACATGGAAATGAATTTTATTTGTGATATAATAATAACACATATACATATATCGATATCGTTAACGGGAATAAGATATTTGTTATGATCTTTTTAAGTTATAATTTTGTGTTACCAAAGCTACATGAACGGATGCATTCCGAATATTCTTGTGAATAAATATTTAAGTTCTGCATTATTTCATGTAGCTCTGTACGTGATTGTGATATGCTGTTAAGTAATAAATGTCAGCTGTTGTTAAGTTCATGAGATCCCTATGTGAGTTTTATGTAAATTAAATGAACAAGTACCGCGCGGAGATAAAATCGGTTTTATATGTTAGTGCTGTGTGAAAAGTATGCGGAGTTAAATTTTCTACAAGTTAGAGCCAGCATGTTTTAAACATTATATCCGTATACCTTTCACATACACAGAAAATTCTGTATCACCATACACAACTTGCAAGTTATGATAAATAGAAAATTAATAAAAGTATATAAAGAAAATTTGTTTGAATGAACAATTTTTATTTTGTTCACCTTTTTACATTACGTGGAAGTACGATACATTTTGAAAAGAGAATAAAGCACCCTAATCGAATTCATAATTTATATATGTTTCAGTAGCAGCAGATATTTAAAATCTTTTACTTTATATATTTTTATTTTGTACCATATTCTTAATTCTATATCTTCATTTCTATATCTATACATTTCATGCATTATTTAAGAGGTTTGGAAGTTCTTAATAATATGATACTTTTTTCCTAATTATATAATAAGTAGTATAATATAGTTTTGCAAAGGTAATTAATGAAATAATTTGAATAAGTGTAAATTTTAATAGACACGATGAAAAAAAATACTAAACATATAAACTTATGTACTGTATTAACGATCGGATATCTTACATTCACAAATGTAACAGATGTTCAATAATTTGCTACCCTATTAACAGGAATTGCGAATTACACAGGTACAGTATGGCTTCTTGCTCTTCTAGACTCTTTTACCTTTTCTACATTAACATTCGGAAACTGTTCTTTCACAGCTTCAAGATCCAGATTCGGGAATTTTCTCATTAACATTGCGACACGATTATTGTCACGTCTGAAAAAAAGAATTATTTTTTTTTAATAAAAATGAATAGATTGAGAGACATATCACGGTGCGCGCATATGCGTTAAGCGAATAGAAAAGACAATTGTTACGAACGTTATTGCTCTGCGTTTCTTATTCCAAAGTTGCTCCCTGTACAAGCGTAAAAACTTTCGAGTCGCGTATCCGCCATAGCCAAACATGTGCAACTTATGCCATTTCGTGTTTACGAACTTTGGGATGCTATGCTGCCTCATTCGGTAATAAAACCTTAAACCTGAAAATAGGTTTAAAAAAAAGTCAATATTATTTTACTTTTACATCCATTATAACTTTTTTTCTAGGAGAGTAAACTCCTTTTTTAACTCTTAAATATATATGACAAGCTATTATTACATAAATTGCACGGATTTTATACCTAAGATATTGTAGACCAGTTTTCCAGGACGCTCTCCTGTCTCTCCAGTCTCGAGCAAGTGATACGCTCTGTTTCTTTCGCGAACGACTGACTCCAAGTTACTCATGCTGTCCTGAACTTTGTCCAAACGTTCGGGATTCGGGAAGATCTCGAATGCTCTATTGCACGCATTTTCCATGGTCATAAGCATGTTACGTTCCTTCAATAACACGTACCTACATTTAAACAGATTAATCCATAAGACATCTAAAGAAAGTTGATAAACAAGCAACTCAGGACAAACAAATCTCACCATAACTTATGCAAGTCGGAATTGCTCTTCAACCTCAATTCATCCTTCTTCCAAGACCGACCCACTCGCACCTCGTTCTTTCCCCAATTTTTCGGATCGTCAAAGAATTCCATCAAGTCACGGCGTCCCGATGTAAGATGTATAAACGCGCAGTGCAAAGCTGGAGCGCTGTAAAAGAAAACACATGAAAAAATCGTTCGAGACTTCAATCTTCATTCTTATCGCTATTATTAAAGCAACTCTTGGCGCCGAACACGTGCTCCAGTTTCACTTGTCTCACAACATCCTATTTACTGTCAACAAAGATGCCACGTATTATCGCTAAGTGTGCGGTAACAATTCCGCAAATCTCGAGTGTCAAACGATAAAGGATCGTTCGGCAAATAATTCGTATGTCATACGAGGACTGGAGAATTACATTACACGGCGAAAATATTTTTAACATTCTTAACAAAGAAGGGAAATTGCACTCCGGACCGGACGAAGTAACACAGGATACGAGTGTCGCAGCTCGAGATGGATGCGAGATACGAACCTGCGGAGAAACGCATGTTTGGCAGGAGCGATGACACCCGGGGCCAAAGACAGATTCGTGAACAGTTTTGTTATGCCGTTCATGCTCGTGCCGGCCTGCACGGCCTTTATAAGCGCCGCCATCTTCTCCGCACTGCTCTCTCCCTCTCTGTCGCTT